TGTTTGATTACTATAATTTTATAGTAAGTGTTAAAATCAGAAAGTGTGATTCCTGTAATTTTTTTTTGTATTTTAAAAATTATTAAATTTGAGAATGAAGTGGTCTTGCCACTAATTTATTCCAAGACCAGAATTTTATGGATGAGGAAAATATGCCTCCAAAATTTAAATGAAATTGACCAATACTACACTGTGTAAGTACTTTGTGACTTCTGAAATTTTTAAACTTCCCATTCTGACCTTCAGAAGTCACACTGTTGATAAGAGTATTTCCAAGAGTTTAAATCCTTCTGCTGCCTTCTCCCAGGGCCTCCTGCTCTGCTGGACAGTGGGATGGCAGTGGGAGGGACAACGTCCTAAGTGAGCTCGGGTTGCCACTGTCCTAACTGGATGGGACTCCTCAGTCAGAGAGGAGGCATCATCATTTTCTCATTTGCTCCTAAGAAATTCACTTTATTTTCAGTTCTCCTTTTCTGCTTTCTATCAGAAGCTGCTTCCCTTTTTTTATTATTTTTTTTTTTTACTGCCGATAGCCCTTCCTCAGACCTTTGGAGTAGGTATGAAATCTTATTTCCTGTAATGTCTTACAAACTTACATGTTTGGCACTGTATTAGTGTGATGGTTGTGAAAAACTTATGGTTAAAAAAATATAAGGAGAGTTTGCCTTTAGTGTTTATCTTTTGTTGTCCATAAAATTCTTAATTCCATCCAAATTAGTCACCATCTATCCTTCATCTTTCCCCAATACCCACTTCTTGATTCTCTGCTGTCTTTTATAGATTGCAATTTACAATTCCCAAAACACACACCTTATTTGTTTTCATAGAGGAGACAATATGACATTTTCCTTAAAGAATTAAAGTTTTTTCTCGAATCCACTAGATGGCTCAAGTGCACCACTTTGACAGCCCATGTTGCTGTTTGCCTGCTCTGCCTGGGTTTCTGCTTTCTGAATACTGTGTGCTTCTCAGGTGGCTGGATGAGCTAGCTCTCCCTGAACCAGCTCTTCAGTTCCATACACGTGAGGGCAAGTGTCCCTGCATTTTGTGATTATTTACAAATTAAAATCAGCTAAAGTATTCTTCATATAAAAGCAAAGACATTGTTTTACAATGCTGAGAATATTGTGTTTTTTTACTTTCAAGAGTAATCTATATATAGATCCCCTCAAACTGGGCATATAGTTAGTAAATCATTTTTTTCTTCCCGACTCACAGTCATTTTGAGTAATTTTGCAAAATATGGTAGCACTTTGGGAGTTTTTATGACACTCAAGGGCTGTTTGCTTCATCTTGGTAGTAATATTTATTGAGTGTTAATGTGTTTGGCACCGTATTAGGAAGGGGGAGGAGATACCAGATGAATAAACAGGACATACTGCAATAATATTTTTCCTTGAGTGATGGGTAAACTGAACTGGCTGATGAACGTCATGTTGTAATCAATCATGTGTTCAGGAGAATCTTACCTCTTTTTCACATTGTATTTGTTGATACTTAGTGAAAATAAGTTTTAAAAACTGTGTTGTTTAGAAATATTTTGTGCTCATCGTTAGTTGTTTTGACTTCGTATGTAGAAGGGAAGGGGGACTGAGATTGGTTGAAGGCTCATTTTGTGCCAGTTTCTCATTTAATATAGTTGTTCATTCCCACAAGATCTTAGAAGACAAATACAAATATCTCCATTTTATAGATGAAGAAACTGAAGGATCAAATGTGTTGAGTAAGCTTTGCATGATTAAACAACTAGTAAGTAGAGGGCAGAGTGTAGGGCTTGCTCAGACCTGCTTCAAAGCTCCTTTTTCTCTAGCCCACGGCATCTCCTGGGATGATGTGTCTGTGCTTCCGCAGAGGGAATCTGGTCTCCTTGGGATATCAAGGATTGCTTTGTTCTTTTGACCAAGAGAAAAACCGTAATTTCCTGTAGTGTCAGAACCATTTTTAATAATGATTTTAACTGCTTGAATACTTCATATCTTAAAGGCAGAAAACTCCAAATAGTGATTGTCTATGACAATTGCTTTTTAAAAGACCTTTGATATAAAGAAGTGTTTTGGCAAACTAGAGCAATCAGTCATTTAAACTCTTTAACAGATAACAGGTCGAATGGCAGAACAACTGAACAACCAATCAAACCATAATATGCTAATGATACACTAAAGTGCTCAACCACTTGCTATGACATGCACTGACCACCAAGGGGCAGATGTTTTGGTAGGTTAGCTTGCTGCTGGGGTCCAGCTGATCAGAACTGAGCGAGATGGGCCGGACACACCCTGGAGCTCTCCCTCGATCCCTCCCCAGCCTGATCGTGCACTGGTAGGGTCCCTCAGCCTGGCCTGTGCCTTCTCACAATCCAGGATTCCTTGGGGGATGTTGGAGAGCTGGTTTCAACCTGATCCCGCAGGCCACTCGCCTTGGGAGGGCAATAGATGCAGGGCTCATGGCTGGTGAGCACTGCTGTGGCAGCACAAGCCTCTCCTAGTTGGGACTGAGAGGGAGCATCAGGTGGAATTTATTCCTCTCACATCACCTTATAAGTTATTTTATCTCCACAATATACTAACATTTGAAAAACATAACTTTGATTAGCTTCTTTACAAAAATGTCTTAGCCAGGTTCTGGCTTTCTAACATGGAGTGCACTCTTGTTTAATTTCTTTATGCTTCAGGGGTATCATAATCATTGGTTGTTTCTCGGGGTGCCTAACACTGTAGTTGGGATATTTGTTCTTGTGCTGTGTGGTTCCAGCGTATATTTGAGGTGGCCTTTCTCTGTGTCATTTGTTGCATTAAGTCATGTGATATTAATCCATGGGTTTTCCCCCCTTCAAACCACTCACTCTGCTATAGTTTAAAATTGGTTAGAAACCCCTTAAGAAACAAATAATACACTTAGTTAGTACAGGAGTTAGTACTATTGACATTCATGAATAAAAAAGTCCAAACTGGAGAGGAGGCATATTTACTTCTGCCAGTTGGCATGATGGATACCCATGTTACGATTAAATTGTCTTCTCGGTGATTTCATGAGCTTTTCTGTATGGAGGTTATTAAACTTTTCCAGAAATTCATACTCTTGGGGTGGGGAGGGAGCACAGGAATTGAGGTGAGGGGACAGAGGATTAGAGGAGAAGCACTTAATATCTTCTATGGACTTAGCAGGGGAAAATACTTTTAGACTCTGGCCCTCATTGCTGCTCCTGTGTTGATAGTGAGAACAGAGATTTGTATAGTCTTAGCACAGGTCTTCTTCAGTGAAGGTGACTGAAGGTAAGCTAGAGCTTAAAATAGAAGCTGCTCCTGGGTGATGGGTTCTGGTTTTGTAGCTGGACAACTAAGCCTTTTTACTACTCTCCAACTCAGGTTTGTCACATCTGGGTACCACAATCAAATGGAAGTTCTGTCTTCCATCCCGCCGAGTTTTCAGATTCTGAACATGGGATAATTTACTCTGAAATGGGGTGTGTGGTTTTTTTTCCTGTCGGAGCAGACACATTTAATTACAGAAAGCTCTTTGTCATGGAAACATTTTCTTGTAATATCTAGCACTTTTTAAAAATTCTGATTGTAATTACAGTGCCAGCAAGATAAACTGTGTCAATAATATGTAGAATTAATTAATATAGGTAAAATTCCCTGGGAATTTGGGACACTTCTCATTTACTATTCATAATTTGTAGTTTTAGCAAGTATCTCTGATGGTGGTTGAATGTGATCAACATTTTCTTCTCTTGTGAGCCTGAGAATCTTATTACTAAAAGACTTGGCAAAAGTTATTATTGGAAAACATCATTCCCGAAGAAGAAAGCTTATATGATCAATTTTTTGGATAGCGTAAGAGTTAATCAAAGGTACTTGCCCTTAAAGCTATGTAGGTATTCCTTACATAAGAACTCATTAAAAACTTGTAGGAATTTACAAGTGGGACTTTTTCTTAGCTTTAAAATGAAAATATCTTCTGAGTACCTTGGAAAGCTGGTTCCACAACCATCAAATCTCACAGAACTGCACAGTGCTATCCATCAGGCATGGTGTCAGATTCCTCGCATCACCTTTCAACATCTCGTGGAGTCAATGTCAAGAAGAATCACCGCAGAATTGAAGGCAAAAGGTGGCCCAACAAAGTACTGATGGGGTGGGCATAATAATCTGGCCACTCAGTGTATATACTAAATGCTTCTCTCTCATATTTTCTCATTTAAAAAATAATGTTATATATTCTTATTTTTCTACCTCTTTCAACCATTCTTTCAACCATTACAACTTCGTATGTGTCACCATCGGATGTTGAGGGGACAGGCTCTTGCAGTGACAGCACTGTGCTGCTCTGTGTTAAGGTGAGACGTGCTAACCAGCTTCCTAGCATGGGCATCTGTCATCCTCCCAGGTGACACTAAATGAGATTGTGAATTATTTTCGAATGAAAGTTTCTCGATTTCTCATAAAAATTAAGGTTTCAGTACTCTGAAACGTAAAAAGGACTGTTTTCAGCCCTAACTGGTTTGGCTCAGTGGATAGAGCGTCAGCCTTCAGACTGAAGGGTCCCAGGTTTGATTCTGGTCAAGAACATATACCTGAGTTGTGGGCCTGGTTCCCAGTAGGTGACATTCAGGAGGCAGCCAATCAGTGATTTTCTCTCATCATTGATGTTTCTATCTCTCTTTCTCCTTTCCTCTCCAAAATCAATAAAGATATTTAAAAAAAAAATAAAAAAGGACTAGTTTCAAATTAGTAAAAATTTTGTTTTGTTTTTTCAATTGTCATTTTCTTAAGTATAGCTATGCTAAACAGGCTCTGTGATATTTTTTCTTCCTAAATGTTTACTTTAAAGAAGCAGCCCTTTTAACATGATCTAGCATTTTATGTTACCCTTAGTGAATGAGTAAGAACTTGAATTTTAAGATTGCATGAACTCATTTCGTTAACAATATATTTTGTTCCATTTTGCAGCTTCTTGGTGAATTTTGGATGAAGCCATTAAATTAATTGCTTGCCATCATGAGCAGAAGTAAGCGTGACAGCAATTTTTATAGTGTAGAGATTGGAGATTCTACATTCACAGTCCTGAAACGATATCAGAATTTAAAACCTATAGGCTCAGGAGCTCAAGGAATAGTATGGTAAGTTTTTACTTCCAAAAATTAGGCAAAGAATCATTAACTGCTATTACTTTCTCTTCTCATATTATAATATAGATACCTTGGTGTAAATATTTAATTTGCCTCAAAAATTTAATTGAAACTATAAAATTTAAATTAAGGCTATGATGCAATAAGTTTTTTGTTCAGGGATTAATGTTATTTTTTATTCATAAAATATAACCATAAGTCAGCACTGCCGTCTTCAAGGATAAATTATGATTAAATGCTTGGTTATAAGCCATGTAGAGATAAAAATTTGTAACAGGAGAGGATAAGTGGGTGCTGGTTGTTTTCGTGTGTACATCTGTTCCTAGAGTTAATTGTTTAATAAGAAGCTTCACATAATCATCACTTTCACTCTATAATGAAACTGGAAGTTCAGAAATCTTATTTTACACTGGGGAATGAAGTCAGCTATATCATCTAACTGTGTTTCAAAACTCTTTATGTATTTTTAAAATTTAATTTACAAGCTAATTTCTACAAAAGGCCTAGACTTTATATATCAGCATCATTACTTATAAGCTAAGACAGTCCTACTCATGATTTTAGATCACTAAGTTAGCACACAACTAGTGTTTGAGGAAATTTTTAAGCCTCACTCAAGCACAGTTATATTTTTATTACCTCTTCTTGAACCAGATTTGTTTTAGAATCTATTAAAAAATCATGTGTTTACGACCCTGCAATTCTCCCGGTTTTAGAAAAACCCCTGCATGTGTACATGAAGAGAAATGCATAGGGCTGTTCTCTGTAGCACTGTTTATAAAACAACATCAGTCAATAGGCAAATGGAAAAGCGTGATACATCCATACGGTGAACTATGTACAACATTTTAAATGAACTAGAGCTATATGCATCAATAAGGATAATCTCAGAAGTGTAGCTTTGAATTTAAAAGCAAGATACAGACTATACTGACATTATATATAGTTTTTATATAGTTTAAAATAGGCAAACAATACCATATGTTTATTGTGCATAAGTATGTAGAAAGTGTAACAATATTCATAAACAACAAACTCAGGATAGTGCTTACCTGTAAGAATACAGAGAAAGAAGGGGACTTTACCTATAATAATATCTTTTTTTAAAAATCAGCCTGGCCAGTATGGCTTAGTTGTTCAGCATCAACCTATGAACCAGGAAGTCACAGTTTGATTCTCAATTCGATTCCCTGTTGGGGCACCTGCCGGGGTTGCAGCTTGATCTCTAGTATGGGGCATGCAGGAGACAGCTGATCATTGATGTTTCTATTTCTCTTTCCCTTCCTCTATTAAATCAATAAAAAAAATTTATATTAAAAAAATTTTTAATCAGAGCAATTATAGTAAGACTAGAGGCCCTCTGCACTGGAGGATGTCCCTCGGCCTGGTCTGAACCCTCTTGCAAATTGGGACCCGTTGAGGGATGTTGGAGAACTGGTTTTGGCCCAATCCCTGCAGGCCAGGCTGAGGGATCCCACCGGCCTCTAGTATGCATATAAGATCTTTGGTTAATTTCTTCCCATTCTCCCCTCTCCTTCCCGTCTGAGATTCATCATTCTGTTCCAGATTTCCATGCCTGTGCGTTGAGTGTCTGCAGTGCAAATGGTCCAAAGGTTGCTTAGGCTTTTATATATATATAGAAGATGTTAAAATCTAACAAGTTTATGTAATGGGAACACTTAACATTTATTCTCTTCTGTATTCTTGAAGTAATATCCTATATAATAAAAGCCTAATATGCAAATTGCCCCCTTGACTGGGAGTTTGCCCAGGAGTTCGACCACTCACTATGACATGTTTGACTACTCACTATGACATGCACTGACCACCAGGGGGTGGTATGGAACATGGCTGGTGTAGGCGACGTGGCACTGGCAATGGGCAGCAGTGGAGGCACTGCCAGCCTCAGTGGGCTCTGACAGGAGTGGGACCATGGCAGGATGGTGGAACTGCAGAGCAGGTGGCGCCAGGGGTCCAATTGCTCTGCCAATCGCCCTGCAGATGGTGACCAGTGGTGGCAGCAGGGGGCAGGGTCACCACCGGGCTCCTAAGTGCTGAGGGAGCAAAGCAGGGATCCAGTGACTCAGGCAGAGGGGAGCGCATGGGGGGCCAGGGGCCCAGGTGCTACCAAGGGCCCAGAAGTCAGCTGAGACCTGCCCTTCGATTGTTAGCCAAGCCTACAGACTGCACCTGTGCATGAATTTTGTGCACTGGGCCTCTAGTACAATATCAAAAACTATAGAAGTTTAGGTCATTTTATAAAGCATTTATGGCTGGCTGGTTGTCATTTAACCAACTACAAATTAAAGATGAAGTAGTGTGATACAGTCAACGTGGGAAGTATGCTGAAAGGTGGCCCTGGGTTCACATTCTAGCTCTGTGACTTTAGTAACTTTATGATTCATGGGAGATACTGCTAAGCCTGTTTTCTCTCCAAATTTATTAGAGTTGTAAGAACTGGATTCTTTATAAATTACTTAATATTATTTGAAAATATAGTAATGTTTCTGTACTTTCACTTATCCTTAGGTTGGGTGTATCTTGAAATTTGTGGACCACTGTTTAGAAAACATTGCCTTGGAAGGAACCTTAAGCCAATTTAGCCCCGGTCCCAGCAATAAATATCTTCAAATTTTTGCTTTTGCTTTAATAAAATATTACTATGAAACAAGCAAACATTAAATAAAATTTAACTCACTATCAGAATCAACTGAAAAACTTAATTTTTTTAAAGGCATTATTTTGGGTCCCATTTGGGTCTGAATTGGGACCCTGGAATCCTAGGTGTTTCTGATTAGAAATCTTCATTTCCTTGGATATAAAACAGTATAACCTACTTAGGTAATTTTGAACTTTTGAGCTTGAAATAAGAATTTGATTTAGCAGATAAAAATTAATAAGAATGCATTTAATGGTTAAGTTTTTTTCCTGAGCAAAATAAGAGATTACATGTTTATTTTATCTTCAGGAATGTAAAGGACTAATCAGTCAAACAGTTTTTATTATGAAACTAAATTCTGAAGGTGTCTACAGAGTTGGCTTTTTTCCTCTCTTTAAATAGGCAGTCTAAGAAGTCTAGAAAAGATAAACTCTGTTCTGTGTTTCTGAGGAAGTAGAAAGAGTGCAAACATAAATGAGGCTTTAATTTGGCAAAATACAGTGCAGTGTTAGCCTTGAACCAACAGTTTCCCAATTTACTCTGCTCCTGGGGAGTGTTCTTTCTCCTTTGTGAGCCTTTGGTGTGCTGCCTGAAGCTACTGTTGTAATGTGTTACAGTCTGATTAAGTTTACACACATTGTCTCCTTCTCAGGAGACTCCTTTTCTGAAATAGTCAAAATTTCTAAACATTTTGCATGACCTCTATTTTTTTTTTTTTTTAGGAGGGATATATCTATAAATATGACACTTTCTAGGTAAAGATGGTAATACTTATGTATATTTTGGTATGTGCAGGTATATACTGGTACAGGGTGGTGCAAAAATAGGTTTACAATTATGAGTACACAAAACATGGAGTTTACTCTTGTATTATTATTTATTAATTATTGTTATTATTTTCCCTAAAAACAACTGTAAACCTTCTTTTGCCCTACCCTGTGTATGTGTGTGTGTGTTTGTGTGTGTGTGTGAATTCAATAATTATGGTATATATAGAATGTACAGATGTGTTTTTTTATGTGGTACCAATTTCTTAATATATATATATTTCTGCAATATGTTTGCTAGGATAGGAGAGCTGTAAAACAAATTCAGGTTTCCAGTTAGGTGAGAGCCATTGTAATCAGGAATGTGCTGACTTTTAAATATCACATAAGCAGAAATAATATTTTTTAGTTTATTAAGTGGTCCAGTGTGAAGGATATGACTTCATGTGTTAGTCTTCTAGTCTTATCTTAACTTTTTAACTTTCTGGCTTAACTTGGGTAAACTTCTGGCCTTATAGCAGGCAGTGGTAAATCCAAATGGCTTTCAAGTTTCTTTTAATTATAATATTCTATAATTTTAAGATACTTTCCTTTATTTGTGCTGAGTTTCTCTTACCTATGATATGCGTCAGATGCTATTTGGTCAGTGTCATGGGAGAGGAGGTTATGTAGAGTAATGAGTATGATGTTATAGTTCCCAGAATTTTAGGTGTTTCATTAGCAATTATGAAGCAGCTTCTGATGGCCTGAAATCTGGCATTCATCATTATAACACCTTGATTTTTAATTTCCCCTCTAAAACCAATTTTAGGCTTACTTTTCATATAATCTTTTGTATAGATAACCTCTGTCTGTCCCTTCCTCTTCCTGTATTTATGTTGTATCCAAAGAGGATGGAAGTGATGCACTTATGTAGAATGCTTCAGAAAATATTTTGAGTAGAATTTATGACCACATGTATTCTTTGTTTTCTTTCCCTGGTGGAGGTGCAGGATGAGTGTTCATTTAGGTTTTCAGCTATCTTTGGACCTGAACACTTAGTAAACATTTGTGCACTGAGTGCCATTTGTATCATAGGTGAGTCTCGGAGGAGCCCAGTGAACAAGCAGAGTGTCTTCACAGTCACAATCAGTTGTCTCGAGTCCATTTGCATTGTAAGAAGCAGGTAGTGCTGTACATTGGAATGGGCTGCAGTACAAATAGCAAAAACATGGTGGTCATCAGGGACTGGGAGCTGGTCCAGTTGCTTTTGTCTTTGGAGAACGTGAGAAATCTGAATGCGTGTTTTAGAAATTCAGTTTTACAGGCTTCTTCTTACATTTTTGTTCTTTAATTTCTATTACAGCGCAGCTTACGATGCCATTCTTGAAAGAAACGTTGCAATCAAGAAGCTAAGCCGGCCTTTTCAGAATCAAACGCATGCTAAGCGGGCTTACAGAGAACTGGTTCTTATGAAATGTGTTAATCATAAAAATGTAAGTGGACATTTTAGAAAGTTTAAGTGTAGATGAAATAAAGATTTGTTCATGAATACATGAATATAAAAATCGTTAAAAATAGTAGGTGTTTAAAATGGTTCTTCTGGATTGAAGCATTGTTTAAAAGGTTTATATATTGCCCTGGCCTGTGTGGCTCTGTTCGTTGGAGAATCATCCCATTCAGGGCACATACCCAGGTTGCAGGTTCGATACCTGGTCAGGCACATGTTAGAAGAGCCAGACTATCAGTGTTTCTCTTTCTCCCTCTCTAGCTCTAAAATCAATAATTAATAAATAAATAAAATGATAAATATATTTTAAAAAATAGAAGGTGTATATATCTGTAGTGCGTTCTGTTGTGCATGGACACTGGAGCTTTAACATGGGTGTAGTCTCAGACCATTTCCCCACCCACTGCTCACTGTCACCTCCTGGTGAGGATAATCACTGAGCAGAAAAACATTCCAATTCTATTTCCTAATGAGTATAAGGACTTACACATATATCTTTCACTCATGTTGAGAATAAGTTAAAGCTTACATTAGGCATACTGATACTTTATAATTATTTTAATAGAGGGATGCCTCCATGTTGAGAGGAAATAAACTGGGATTCAATTGTGCAAGGAACACTTTTATGAATGATTAAACCTAAAGTAACTGACTGGAGATGTTTTGTGGTGTTTCTCCGAAGAAGTTTATAAAATGTAGTCAGCTCAGCACATTCTGGTTGCAGTCAACACAGTTTATTCCATTTTATGAGTTAACTATGTGCAAGCCTCTGTGTCACCAAAGGGAAGTTTTATGGAAACATTAAAATTTAGGCTCCTTATTTGGGGGTTTACAGCGTTAATTTGAAGACAAAACAAATGCATAAGGAGTTAAAGACCAAACGATAAATTTTAACTGTCAAAGTTTAATAGAAATTTAATTGTGAAAGCATGTGGATGAAAAATAAACAAATGCTTAGATTTCAGGAGAGAAGATTGCTGAGCCTTAAGGAAATGGAAAGGCTTTGGGGTAGGGTGGACCTAGATTATCTATCTATATATAAAATATGCAAATTGTCCCTGTGAGAGTTCAGCTGGGAGACCAGTTACTCGCTATGACATGTGCTGATCACCAGGGGACAGTGCAGAATGAAGGAAGGCCCCAGCCAGCAACTGGCAGCTGAGAAAGGGAGGCCCCAGCCAACAGCCGGAAGAAAGGCCCTGGTCGGCAGCCGGAGCAAGGCCCCAATTGGCCCTGATCGCTGGCCAGGTCTAGGGACCCTACCCATGCACGAATTTCATGTGCCAGGCCTCTCGTTCTTAACTAATGGGTAAAATTGGATTGCTGGAGGAAGTGGGCCTCCCAGAGAGGAAAAATAGCATTTAAAAAAGACACATAAATGAAGATTAAGGTCAATGATTGGGAAGTTGTGTCGGGGAACGAGGCATGTTGCTTGTGGCCTTTTGCTGGAGCCTCCACACTCAGAGCTGCTTGTGCCCGGGGTAGCCTGTTTGCTGACAGTGGTGGTGTCATTGCCTTGGTTTTGTATTGAAGACATGGCCAATTATGCCTACTTCTTAGCCTTGGCAATTGGACAGAAAGATGGCTCCATCAGCCAAAGGAAGGGCATGAAAAGTTTGCTGCACATGGTTAATACTGTGGTGGGGTAGTGCAGATCCATCCAAGCATTAACCTTGCCACCTAGAACAGTGCTGCCACATAGGTGGTTCTCAGACGTATTTGTTCAGTGAACAAATATTAAGTAAAGATAAGGAGTCCTGGCCAGGTACTTAGGTTAGAGTGTTGTCCCATACACTGTAAGGTTGCATGTTCAATTCCCAGTCAGGGCACGGATGGGAGGCAACGAATCTATGTTTTTTTCTCACGTAAATGTTTCTCTCATTCTCTCCCCTTCCTCTCTCTGTCAAGAAAAAATAAAAATAAAAAAGGCAATAAAAACATATCCCCAGGTGAGGATTTTAAAAAAGTAAATAGAGGTAATGGAATTATTTTATTCCGTGATGTTTACATAATTTTTTGTCTTTTCAACATTTTCATGTTGTGCACAAATCATCTCTTTATTGGTCTAAACATCTCTGGCTTTCCCCAGTCACTTTTTTTGTTTTTGTTTTTGTTTTTGTTTGTTTTTTAGTGTGGTAAAATATACATAACATAAAACTTCACATCTTACCCATTTTTAAGTGGTATTAAGCACATTCATGTGATTGCATTTCCTACTCTTCATAGATGGTTTTGAGTTTCTTTCTTTTTTTTTTAGAATTGAGTTTCTTTTTCACTTATCTTTGAGCACACTTTACTATGTTACCTAGAGCAGAGCACTGCATGCCTGGGCGAGCCCTCGGAGAGGAACTGGGCGTGGCGTTTTCTTTACACTGTGGACACTGTACCGCTGGGTGAAGCCAAGTCACCATGTAACTTACATAGGCTGAGCAAGTTACTCTTTGTTGCAGGCCTGCTAACATATCACATTCCCTGTTTTTTACTTTCCCTTTTTTGTTGTTGTTGTTGTTTTGGAGAATAAGTCTGGTAGTTTCTGTTTGTCCCTATTAAATTTTCTCTGAAATCTGGCTCCTGCCTGGACTGGCACTTGCTTTTTTTGTTCGGACTTTCACTTAACTTCGTGTCCCCTTTCTGCTCAGGAGGCCTTCTGGTCCCTGGCTGGTGCATTAGCAGTCTTGGGTGTGCTGAGAAAATTACCTGAGTAAAAATCACCTGGCTCTCCCCAGTTCTTTATCTTATTTATATGGGGATTATTATTGGGGACATTTTTTAAATGCCTTTTTTAAATCTTCATGATACATTTCTCTGATTTACTCATGTTGTCCTTTGTTACTGTGGTTTTATTCACAAAAGAAGATAAAGTTTCTCAATGAATTTGACCTGCTCCTGCTCCAGTTACTTCTCTCACAGTAGTCATATGCCACACACTTCATTAGTCCTTGACTTTTGTTTGGCTGTCTAGTTTATGATTGAGACAGTTTCCCTTTTGGAAAATCAGACAGCTATTTCAGTCTTCTTTTGTAACCGCTTTACTGAGATACAGTTTACACAGCATTCTACTCATCCATTTAATCTGAGTAAGTCAGTGGTTTTTAGTTTATTCACTGATGTGTGTGACTTCTCATTACCTCAAAAAGAGACCATATGTCTTATTGCTCTCATCTCCCTATTTCCTCCCCCTCGGCTCTGAACACACACTGGTCTCCTTTCTGTCTCTCTTCCTTTCATCTTTAATATTTTCTTCCACTCTAAGACTTCCCAGATAGGAGTAAGAACAGTGTTAGTACTTGTCCAAGTCTCCCAAGTGTGCAGTTCTACTTGTTAGGAGACTTGAGTTCATTCAGAGCAGCTAAATGTTTCCTATTAGCACCTCCCCCCTTTTCATAAATACGTTTTGCCCTTTCTGGTATGAAAATTTTATGAATTTACATATTGAACAAATATTTTAACACCTTCATTAAGCAAAACTTTATGCTTAGATGAATTACATAGATTCTGTCCTAACGAAGTTTATGCCCAGAAGAACATTCTTGCCCCTAAGTATAATTGGCAACAAACATTTTTAAAATGTGTGCCAGGCCTATAAAGGGAATAGACACAGCTCTTCCTGACAAGGATGCTGGTGTGGCTGGGAAAGGCTGTTGTGAAAATAAGACTATACAACAGTGTGTTAAGTGCCATAATAACATGTAAGACACTGTGGGGATAAAGCAGAGAGAAAATCCAGCTCTCTCAAGGACAAGGCGTTTTCGGACTACAAAAAGAGGTCTATCTTGAAGGTAACAAAGTTCAGTAGGTCAGTGACAAGCATATGAAGCAGTATGTTTAAAGGCATTTTACGTTTTTAAAATTGTTAATTTAGTATGACCACAGTATCAAGTTAGGGAGCCTAGTGTTAGTCATTATATGAATTAAGATATTATAATCCTTAGCCTATGTAGTAGCACAAAGAATGAAAAGAGGAGGTTGAAGTTCAGACTGACAATGCAATAGATAACATTGTTTAAAATATTTATTACAGTGCAAATACTGAAAAAGGAATAAAACAAAATAACTCTGAGTCTTCTATTGTAAAAGAGAATGCACTCTAGAACAGTAAGGAGTTCGAGTACAAATAATGAGTTCAGTTTTATATTATTTGTGAGACTTTCTTGTGAAATTGCAGAATATCTGAGACTCATGAGCTAAGCAAGGATTCTTAATTCATATTTGGAAATTACCCACGTAGAGATGTATGGAGAAAATGCCATAGGTAATGTCACCCTAGGAAAGGTACGGGTAGAGAAAAGAGGCAGATGGAAGAATAGTGGGAAAGAGGGCCTGCCAGTGGACAGGCCAGTGGAGTATGCGTGTGGCTGGGAAGGTGCAGAATTCTGAAAAACTGGAGCAAAGACTGAGATTATATAGAGGTTCAGAGTTGGCTATAAACGAGCATAAGAGATGTCAAATTGGCCTTCAAATCATGTCGAGGATTGTATAACAGTGTTCATTTGTGGAATGGATTCAGTGGAGCTCTTTTGTTGTAATTTTTTAAAGACTTGTGTGTTTTTTTGAGCAAGTTTTCAGCTCATAGCAAAATTGAGTGGAAAGCACAAAAAATGTCTCTCTAGCTTCTGCCCTCTCCCTACCCACGTGCAGCCTACCCCATTATCAGCATTACCACCAGAGTGGGACAGTTGTTACAAGCAGTGAACCTGCACTGACACATCCACATCACCCAGAAAAGCCCATAGCTCACATTGGGGTTCACTCTTGGTGTCATACATTCTGTGTGTTTGGTTTGTAAACCACAGTATTTTTACTGCCCTGAAGCTCCTCTGTGCTCTGGCTCCCTCTCTGTCCCCAGCCCCAGGCCATAAAGTTTTAATTAAAAGAAAAAAGATTATTTGAGCTTAGAAAGTAAGATTTGAAAATTTTTAAACTATTTGTGGATTTTTTTTTTTTTTTTAATTTGTGGATTTTTTTAACCCATGTAGCAGTTGCTAATTTTCTAACCTCTTTGCTTTTGCCACAGATAATTGGCCTTTTGAATGTTTTCACACCACAGAAATCCCTAGAAGAATTTCAAGATGTGTAAGTGTGATAATTAAAATTTTATGTTAGTGCCTTATTCTTAGATCGTTGCTGTACACTTTAGCTGTCATCTTTTTTCACCCATGAAGTTATATAGTCATGGAGCTCATGGATGCAAATCTTTGCCAAGTGATTCAGATGGAACTAGATCATGAAAGAATGTCCTACCTTCTCTATCAGATGCTGTGTGGAATCAAGCACCTTCACTCTGCTGGAATTATTCATCGGGTTAGTAGAAATAACTATCATCATAATCTATTTTTATTCATTGAGGTGAAATTCATGTAACATAAGATTAATCATTTTAAAGTGTACAATTCAGTGACATGTAATACATTCACAAAATGTGAAGCCACCACCAATACCAAATTTTAAAATATTTTCATTGCTCCAAGAGAAAACCTCATACCCATTAAGCAGTTACTCCTCATTCCCTTTCTCCCAGCCCCTAAGCATCGTACCAGTCTGCTTTCTGTGTCTATAGACTTAGCTCTTCTGGATTTTATATACTTGGAATAATATAATTATGTGACCTTTGTGTCCAGCTTCTTTGACTTATAATGTTTTCAAGTTTATCCGTGTTGTAGCATATATGGATAGTTCATTCTTTCTTATGACTAATATTCTGTTTAATGTATTTACTACATTTTGTTAATTGATAAACATTTGGGTTATTTCTAAGTTTTAGCTTTGTGGATAACACTGCTATGAACATTGATGGTCAAATATTTATTTGAGTTTTTGTTTTCAATTTTTTTGGGTATCTACCTAGGAGTGGAATTGCTGATTCATATGGTAAACCTATATTATACTTTTTAAGGAACCACCAAACTGTTTTCCATAGTGGCCGCACCATTTTACATTCCTAGTAATAATTTATGGCTGAGAATCCAGTTTCTCTAAGTATTTGCCAATGCTTACTGACTTTTTTATTCTAACCCTCCTAGTGCATATGAACTGGTATTTTGTGGTTTTTATTTGCATTTCCCTAGTAACTAATGATGTTGAGCATCTTTATATGTGCTTGTTGGCCATGTGCATACTTTTGTGGGAGAAATTTCTATTTAAGCCCTTGGCCCATTTTTAATTAGGTTGGTTTGCTTTTTATTATTGAATTGTAGGGGTTCTTTATATATTTCAGATACTGAACCCTTATCATATATGTGATTTGTAAATATTTTCTCCCATTTAAATGTTGTCTTTTAACTTTCTTGATATCCTTTGCAAAAAAGTTTTTAATTTTCATGAAATTAGTTTATCTTTTGTTGCTTGTTCTTTTGGTGTCATATATAGGAATCCATTGTCAAATGCAAAATCATTAAGATTTACCCTTAAATTTTCTTCTCAGAGTTGTAAAGTTTTAACTCTTATGTTTAGGTCTTTGACCCATTTTGAGTTAATTTTTATATATTAAATGTATAAGGTAATGTGAGGCAAGGGTCCAACTTCATTTGTTTGCTTGTGGAAATCCAGTTGTTCCAGCACTTGATTTAAAGAATTATTATTTCCCAGTTGAATGGTTTTGGCCCCCTTGTTGAAAATTGACCATATATTTTATCTGGACTCTTAAGTGCTATTCCATTGATCTGTATATCTGTCCTTATACCAGTACCACATTATTTTGATCACTGTAACTTTATAGTAAGTTTTAAAATGGGAAAGTGTGAATCCTTTAACTGTATTCTTTTTTTTTGAACATCATTTTGACGATTCAGAGCTCCTTGTGATTTTGTATGAATTTGAGTATCAGCTTTTCCATTTCAGCAAAAAAGACTATTGGAATTTTAAATATATTTTTTATTGATTTTTTTCAGAGAGGAAGGGAGAGAGAGAGAGAGCTAGAAACATCGATGAAAGAGAAACATCGACCAGCTGCCTCTTGCACACCCCCCACTGGGGATGTGCCCGCAACCAGCGTACATGCCCTTGACCGGAATCGAACCCGGGACCTTTCAGTCTGCAGACCGACCCTCTACCACTGAGCCAAACCGGTTTCGGCCTATTGGAATTTTAAAAGGATTTCATTTAATCTATAGATTGGGTACTTTTGCCATCTTAACTAGCCTACCTAATAAAATCCTAATATGCAAATTAACCATCACTCCACTCAAGCCACACCCACCAGTCACACCCACCAGCCAATCAGAGAGGGTATGCAAATTAACCTCAACCAAGATGGCTGTAGCCACAGAGAGCAGTTGAGAGGCTTAGATTTCCCTGGCAATGGAAGCCAAGCTTTCTGTCTGCCCTAGCCAGCCTAGGCCTCTACTCAAGAATACAAAGTTTCAATTATAGAAGATAAATCTCAAGAAAAATGGCAGCAGCCACAAAGCTGGAAAGAGCAGGCTAGGGTTGCCCTCGGCAACAGAGGAAGCAAAGCTTTCCACCTGCCATGGCTGGCCTATGCCTCCATTCAAGGCTACAAAGTTTCAATTATAGAAGATACAGAAATGACAGCAGCCAGAGCAAGCAGGAGGCTTGGCTCCACTCCAGGCTATAAAGTTTCAATTGTGGAAGATAAATAAACCCCAGATACCAGGCCCTCTGCTTGGGTCACTGTTCCGAGGCTGGCCTGCAAACCACCACAAGCCCCTCATTCAGATTGTCCACACCCCAAGGGAACCCCCACCCTGATCCAGGACACCCTTCATGGCAAATCACCTGGTCCCCACCCATGCATCAGGCCTCTATCCTATCTAATAAAAGTGATATGCAGATTGACCATCACTCCAACACACAATAGCTGCCCCATGTGGTCAAAGATCCTGCCCCCATGTGGACTTGGCCAGCAGGGGAGAGTGTTGGGAGGCTCCAAGCTTGCAAGGGAGGGCAGTTGAGAGGGACCAAGTTAGCAAGGGAGGGCAGTTGGAGGTGATCAACCCTGCAGGGGAAGGCAGGGGTTACCAGGCTGGCAGAGGAGGGAAGTTGGGGGCAAACAGGCTGGCAGAGGAGCAGTTAGACATCAATCAGGCTGGCATGGGAGTGGTTAGGGGGTGATCAGGCTGGCAGGCAGAAGCAGTTAGGGACAATCAGGAAGTCAGTCAAGCGAGCAGTTGGGAGCCAGCAGTCCTGGATTGTGAGAGGGATGTCCGACTGCCCATCGGTATTGGGTCTAAACGGGTAGTCGAACATCCCTCAAGGGGTTCCAGATAGGAGAGTGTGCAGGCTGGGCTGAGGGACATACCCCCAACCCATGCATGAATTTCATGCACTGGGCCTCTAGTATTTAATATTACAGCTCATGAACATATGGTATCTTTCCATTTACTTAGATTATATCAGTCTTGGTTGGGCTCCATAATAAAATACTATGGACTGAATGGCTTAAACAAGAGAAATTTGCTTCTCACAAATTATTTTTGGGATTATTTTGCTGAGAATTTTTATATCTATGTTCATAAGTGATATTGCTGTGTAGATTTTTTTTTTTTTAATAATGTGTTTGTTAGAATTTGGTATTGAGGTAATGCTGGCCTCAGAATGAGTTAGAAACTGTTCTTCCCTCATCTGTTTTTTGAAAGAGATTAAGAAGGATTTATGTTAATTCCTAATTAAATGATTGGTAGAATTCCTCCCTCACCCCTCCCGCCCTTTTTTTTTTTTTTTTTTTTTTTGAGATTTTCATTATTGATTTGCTCTCTTTACTTGCTATGGGAGGGTTCAGGTTATGTGTTTTTTGAGTCAGTTTAGGTAATATTGTGTATTTTTAGGAACTTATTTTTTCATCTAAGTGATCTAATTTGTTGGTGTACACTTGTTCATAGTTTTTCTTTTATAATCCTTTTGTTTCTGTAAAGTTGGTAGTAATGTCCCCATTTTAATTTATAATTTTAGTTAATTGCATCTTTTTTTTTCTTAGTCTAGGTAAAGTTTTGTCAGTTTGTTGCTCTTTTTAAAGAACCAACTTTTGAGCCCTGACTGGTAGCTTGGTTGGTTAGAATGTAATCCCAATACACCCAGGTTGTGGGTTTGATCATAGGTCAGGGCACACACAAAAAGCAACCAAGTCCTGGCCCGGCTGCTAAGAGGTTAGAGCTTTGGCCCACGGACCAAAGGATCTTGGGTTCAGTTCCGATCAAAGGTACATACCACAGTTGCAGGCTCAATCCCCAGCCCCAGTGGGGTTATGTGTAAGAGGCAAATAATCTGTGTCTCTCACATCAGTGTTTCTCTCTCTCTTAACCCCCTTTCTTCTTCCCCTCCACATTCTCTAAAATACTCAATGGAAAAAATATCCTCAGGTAAGGATTTAAAAAAAATAGAAGTAACCAAATGTAATGACAAAAATTGATGTTTCTCTCTCTCCGCTTTCTCAAATCAATAAATTTTTTAAAAATTTAAAGAACCAACTTCTAGTTTGGTGATTTTCTTTATTGTTTTATTGGTCTCTATTTTGTTAATCTCTACTTTTTTATTCATCATTTTCTGTCACATTCTTGCTTTCAGATTAATTTGCTCTTCTGCTTTCTTAAGGTGGAATATTAGGTTATTGATTTGAGGTTTATTTTTTATGTAGACGTGAACAGGATTTATTGAGCACTCATTGTGTACAGAACACAATACCAAAAGCAGTGCCATTTTCTATGGAGCTCATCTCACAGTCATGTCACAGCACAGCCACCTGGATCTGACAGCTTGCCAAAGCAGCCCTGCTCTTGGGCCCAATTTGACTGTGTTGTGGCATAACCGTGAGGTGAGCTCCATGAATTTTCTTTTTTAATGTGACTATTAACAGCTGTGAAATTGCCCCTGAGCTCCACTTACTAGGTATTCCCTAAATTTTGGTATGTTGTATTTTCATTTTCATTCATCTCAAAGTATAACTAATTTTCCTTGTAAACTGTTCTTTAATTACACAAACTGTTGTTTAATTTCCACAAATGTGTGAGTTTTACACTTTTCCTTGATTTCTAGCTTCATTCCATTGTGATCAGAGAAGACACACTGTATGTTTTTTAATTTATTGAGGTTTGTTCTGTGACCTAACATATAGTCAGTCTATCCTGAAGAATATCTTGTTGCATGTGCACTTGAGAAAAGTAATGTATAATAATGAAGAGAGTATTTAGATATATATGTTGTCTAGTTGGCTTATAGTGTTTTTCCCACCCTTATTTTCTTATTGATTTTCTAATTGTTTTGTCCATAATGAGAGTAAGGCATAGAACTCCTCACCTGTTATTAGATAACTGTCTATTTTACCCTTCAATCATGTCAATTTTTTAAAA